AATGCAATTCCTACAGAGGCTCTCAAAAGCAAAGGGATGAGATATTCCTTCCAGCAGAAGGGCTGGAGGAAGAAAAAAGAAAAGATCACTGTGTCTGTCCAAGAGAAAACTCCTGGATCTCAAGGTTGCAATTGCATTAATATTTGATAATTAATCACAAAAGCAGATTGTATGCTAATGCACAAAGTAGTCTGACATGTTCATCAATTCATTTCTTCACTTAGCACTATCACAAATTGCTGGTTTTTTGTATGAAGTTGTCTTTTTTACCCCACAAAGGCTGGAACCGTTTCCCAAGGGAACCAAACTAAAGGACCTGGTGCTTCCTTTCCCCACTGCTAATCTCACTCCACTAATATTTGCAGAGAGGTCACACACCAGATACGACCTTGGAGCTCAAAGCTCTGCTTCACAGAAGTCAAATTTAGCTCCTGACTTTTTCTTTCTTAACCCAGCATGAACCACTCACAGTGACCAACTTCAGGGTTTTATTTAAAACAAAAAACCAAACCAAACCAAAAAAAAACCACAAAAAAAAACCTACACAGAACTGGGTTGTATTTTTGCTGATACACTTCTCTTTGCTTTCATTAATGACAGCCCAATTAGCAGGCAATTTGCTTTTTTAACAAAATTTAACCCGGTCCAACATTTCAGCTGCAGTACTGGTTTATGCAATGGAAACATGAAAATAGCTTTATTTATTTTAGCTATGGAAAAGCAAACAACAGGCCAAGACAGAATTAAAATGCTCTTTTGGCTTCTGTAGGGAAATTCCCCCTCCTTTCTCCACTTCCAAAGCAGACCTTTGACCCTGCTTCCTGCAACAAATCACCTGCACAGCTGAACTCAGAGCAAAAGCAGGGCTCTATAAATGCTCCTGCTCCTAGGACACTGCTGAAAACCCCTCAGGTTTCAGCTGGTTGAAGGAGAATCCTTATTTTTTCTAAGGAAAAAAACCCAATATCCTATGGAGAAACAGCAAATCTCAGCTGGAGTAAAGCCTAAATTGAAGAGTTCAAATGCCATATTTAAATCAAAATCTAAAGTTTTTCTTCAACAAAACCATTCCCTTGATCCAGGAGGCAAATACAGACCATAAGAATTAGGATTTCCAGGGTGTGTTTCTCAGTTGCTGCCGTGTTTCTTTCTCACACGAATGTTTGTATCTGGTTAATGGACTCCGAGCGTCCCTCTGCCCCGAGTTTCAGCGGGGTCCATCAAGGTCACTGTCACACACATGACGTGTGTGTGACAGCCAAGCCACGCCAACCTATCCAGGCAGAGATTCCCAACTCAAGGAAGAACCAAAGGGCAAGTACCTTTACTCTACAGTAAACTCAATAGGCATTAAGAAGCCTAAAATCACTTAATATGACACAAAAACATGTTAAAGCTTCTCCGTGAGGGCTGGAATTGGTCAGTTTTCTCTGGTAACAAGCACAGAAGGAAAACACACGTGAAGAAGATTAATTTACTGAAAATCTGAGAACAAGGAGCCCAGGAATTACACAGGGAAGGTTTTGCAGCAACAGAAGCCTCCCAGGAAGGGGTCACAGCAGTGTTAAGTGTGGAGTTTGTAATAGAAGACCATGGAAAAGAAGAACACAGAGCCTATTGGAAACAAGGCCCAGGAGCAGCTGGGTTCAGCAGCTCAAAGGAACAGTGAGCAAAGACTTTTGGAGGATTTAAAACAACAAAAGACCAAAGGTGATGAGCAGCATCTAAGTAATCCTATGCTTATTATTTAAAAAGACACAGCGACAGGCTCCCTAAGGCAGCTGTTTAACTCACACGTGCCGCAGCAGAGGCACACACAAGGCTCCCAGCATTATTAGTGTCTGTTAACTAGGTATTAATTGCGGTGCATAAGTTAATTAGGTATTAATTACGGTGCACAGGCAGTGTATTTATTCTCTGCAGTCTCCGTCTTCCAGCCCTGCCACCGTGGCCATCATCACACCACGCTGCCTGGGGCTGCTCCTCCTCCTCTCCCTATTAACTGGGGCGTTAATAAAGCGTTAATATTATAAATAAAATTAATTGGGGTGTTAATTAGGAGGGTGAGGGCTGACGCAGAGCTGGAGCGGAGCCGGGAGTAGCCGGCGCCCTGGTGCTGCGGAGGTGACCCCCAGCCTCCATCAATGTCACCTTGGCGGGGGGCGCAGGGAAAGCGCCGCCGCCCCCCGGAGGTGCCCGGTTTCCCCTGAGGCGGTGCCCGCGTGGGGTCCCGGGGGCGGCGGCCGGAGCGGCGGGGGCGGCCCGCGGTAGGCCGCGGGGTCACCGCAAGGACACGCCGGGCCCCGCCGCCTCACGCCCCGCCGGGCCGGGAGCTCGGCCGCGAACCGTGGCGGCATCGCGGCGGGAGGGACGGAAACGAGTGCGGCCGCTCACCTGCTGGGCCGGCGGGCCGGCGGACGGCAGCGCGGAGGCCGGAGACGGCGCAGCGGCGGAGGAGAGAGGCGCTGGCGGCCAGCATGGCGGCGGGCTGTGAAGGAGGGAGACAGCACCGGGCACCGGGGGCGCGCCGCTAGCTCCCACACCGCACCGAGAGGGAGGAAGGGACGGAGGTGAGGGCCGGGGGGGGCCGGCGGAGGCGGGGACGGCGGCGCGGCGGGGACGGACCGGGAGCGCGGCGGGGCGGGAGGCCGCGGGGACGGGCTGAGGGCGCGGCGGGGCGGGGCCGCCGCCATCTTGGGGCGGGGCCGGCCGCCATTTTGTGGGTGAGGGGACTGCCTGTGGGTGTTCCTCGCCTCACTGAGCAGCTACTCGGGAGTGTTTGGGTCGGCTTGGAGGGGGTCCGGCTCGGCTTGGAGGGGGTCGGGCTGCTGCCGCCCCCATTTAGTCGAGCCCGTGCAGCCTCCCTGTCTCTGTCAATGGACACTCGCCCCGCTCGGTCCGTGTGAGGGGAATGGGCTCAAACCGGCTCAGCTGCCGCGTCCACCGCTTCCCCAGTTCTCTGCAAGTGTCCCTGTCCCCACACCGTGAGCTGCTGCCCTCAGCCACCATCGCACCGACCCGGGCACGAAATCCCCCCAAAACTCGCCCCTAAGGCTGTGCCTCAGCAGTGTCGCACAAAAACATCGTGATTATTCCACTCGCCATGTCCCCTGGTATCATCATCCTGATTTATTATTTTCTCATGCAGGAAGCCTTCAGTCCACAGCCAGCAAAGCAAGCACGGTAAAATCCCCAGTGCTGCCTCCGTGATTGGAAACTACCTGCCTATGAAATAAATAAAAAAGATCTTGCAAATTAACAAAATAAGGAGAAATAAGTGATTTTTATTCTTTTTTTTCCTTGCTCGGAGAAATGTGAGGTGGCAGCAATGGAGGTGAAGGGCTGTTAGTGTTCAACTGTGTGGCTCCCACAGTCCTCAGGCTCTGATCAGAGTGTTTATGGAGGGATTTATTAATTACAGGTTTATTAATTAATTTTTTTAGTGATTTTTAATGCATTTGGGGTAGGTGCCTGTACCCAGTGCTCCCATGTGGCATGGAGGGTTGATTCTGAATGGGGTCTGCACTGGAGAAAGAAACTGGGAAGAGCTGGATGGGACAGAGTCCAAACCTTTCCCAGCCCAAAACCCACAAAAAAAAAAAGATCATTAACATAAAAAGCCAGTTGGAAATTAATGTTCAAGTAAAGGGAATCAATCTGCAGCAGAGCAGATAAGCAGGAGGCTCTGGCCCGAGGAGCAGCTGCCTGCTGAGGGAGATAACAAGGTCACTGCCTCACAAAACAAACCCTGATTCTTCCTCCTCTTCTGCTTTCATTCCCGCTCCCAGCCAAGCAAGCCCTTGACAAAGAGGGAATGCTGAACGTCCCTGTAGAGCGGGAGTGAGGCAGGCAGATAAGGCAGCTGCAGCCAGAGAATCCCTCACATGTGGATTTTGGAAAGGGTTTGCTCCTTAATACTGATTAATTCATCCCGCAGTGCCCCTGGGTGCTGGGCAGAGGGAACCAGGTGGATCAGGGCTTAGCATCCCATAACCCATCCCCCAAATCTTCTGTCTCCGCTGGAACTGGGCTTTGCCAGGTGCTGCTGTGCTGGCACAGGAGACCCCAGTCCTGTTCTTCCAAGGGACAGAGTTTGGCTGGGATCCCCTTGTCCTGAGTTGGCAGCAGCGTTCACTGCACTGATCCATAGCCAGCAGCCAAGATGACACCCCCATTTTCCCATAGACATATCTCAACTATTTCTAAAGAGCTTTCATTTTCCATTAATTTCTCTTTACCCCCTGGAAGCAGCAGGGATTTTGCTCTGAAGCACTCTGCAGCCAAGGCACGACTCCAAAACCTCCTTATCCTGTGCTGGGCACTGCATGCAGTCACGATAACCCCCTGCCCAACGCTTCCATTGCCCCCAGCTGCCCGCACCGTGGTTTCCCCTGACTCCTGACCAGAGTATCCAGTGTGGATTGTTTTATTTCCTTGTGCTGTCCCACAGGCAGGCAGCACAGTGCAGTGCTTGGCTCTGTGGGTGCAGGGAGGGAGCAACCCCCGTGCTTGTTTGGGTGGTTTTTTTCAGATGAATCACAGCCCCACAGGATGCTGAGCCCGGCATTAATAACTCTGACAGCTCCTCAGCAGCGGGTTTGATAATGAAGGTTTTATTCCAACAAGCTTGGGGCAAACCCATCTCTCCTGATGGATGAGGCGTTGCAGTGGGGAGTGATGGTGCTGGTCTGGGCACCCCTTGGCTGCTCTGGCTCCATGGGAGTCGCTGCAGGATGTGGCTGGTGGGCACGGTGTCCCTGCGTGGCTGAATTAGAGGTCACCAGCTCCCCCCCCCACATCCTCACCTGCTTCAATCCATAACCAAGAGATGGTGGGTTTAAATGTTTAACCCTCACGCCAGATCTGGAGACCCCCATCCACAGGGGTCAAGGAGCAGCAAGTGGGGACAGGTCAGGGGGAGCCTGCAGCCCACCAGTGAGCCCAGAATGAGTGAATATTCCTGCCTCAATACCTGGCTGGTGGGGTGGGAGGCATTGGGATCAGTGGTCCAGCTGGCCAGTGGTGGTCCCCAAGCCCCTGGGGCTGTCAGACACCTGTACCTGCAGCTTCTTGGGCAGCAGCTCCTCGCAGGGAGGCGGCAGCGGCCGCTTCAGCCCCTTGGTGGAGGATCCCGATGTGTCTTCTCCCGCCTCATGCCGGGGTTCCGGGGGCTGGTATCCCGTCTGGTTGGGATCCAGGGGGTCCCGGGAGAGCAGGATGCAGATGGAGGGGACATTCTTGTGGACAGTCAGGTTTTGTGCGGGGCCGTTGGGCAGCAGGTCCTGGTTCTCCCAGACCTCCAGCACGGTTTTGTAGCGTACCTTGGTGACCTGGTGGAGCCCTCCCAGCTTGCGCTTCATGATCTCCACGCAGGTGATGGTCTTGGTGACCGCCCTGCCGCAGCCGCTGAACACGATCTGCCGCCTGCCCTTCAGCTCCATCTGGGCCATGGCAAAGTTCATCAGGTTCCTGATCTTGCTGCCCTCCTTCACTTTCATCTCCACCACGTCCGGGGGCAGGTCTGGGAAGGGCAATGGCATCTCCTCCTCCGAGGTCCTCACCTTTCGGAAGTTCTCCATTCTGGACTGGACAGCGGGCTTGGCTCTCCCTCCTTCGGCAGCCATCCTTCACCTCTTCCCGGTGGATCCACACAGGCTCCTAGTCCCCAGTGACCATAGGAGGGCTGACTTTGCTGCCCTCCAGCCCAGCCCTGTGTCCTGCAACCACCAGCCCCTTCCCCTTGGCTCTCCAGGGGCTGGCAGTGGGCTTGGTGGCAGTGCCAGAGGCTGTCTCCTGTGGGAGACAGGGCTGCAGGATCCCCTGGCTGCTCCCAGTTGCTCCCAGCAGGGATAACGGGCAGCTCCAGCTCTCGGTGATGCTCGGGCTCCTCCGCTCCCACTGCAGCACTCGCTTCTGCTGCTCTTTGCTTCATTCTGGACTTCAGCAGCCCCCAGAGCTGTTCTGTGTAATTAGCAGATCCTCCCCCTCTCCCTCCCCTTCCTCCCCTCCTCCTCCTCCTCCCCTGCTCAGCCGCCCATCCCAGCACCCAGCGCCTTCCTTCATCCCTGTCAGGCAAAGGGGAGGGCAGGGAACCCAGGTCTCTGTCCCGGAACAGAGAAGGGAAGGAGGGGAGGGTGGAAGGCAGAGAGAGAAGCTCACTCTTGCCTTCATAATGTTCCCAAAGTCCTGCCCCCTTAAAGAGAACCTGGTCCCTTCTCTCGGAGCTCGCTCCTCTCAAAGACACCCGCTGCTAACTGCAAATGTCACCCTGCCTGCCTGCCCTGCAGCATTCCCAGAGGGACGCAGAATCCCAGTCACGCTGTGTCCAAGGATGGCACAAAGATGCAGCAGGTACTTCGGGAAGTACTTTGGAGTCTGAGCTCGACCCTTATTAGCCATGAGAGAAGCCAGTGGAAGCCGCAGTCAGGAGAAAGCCTGGCAGATGGCATCGCAGGCGAGCATGCACTGAGTGTGCCAGGGCTCTGCTCCCCCCAGCACCCCGCATCCGCAGCCTCGGCTCTGCCGGCAGGAAAACCTCTCAATTCCCAAAGCTCCGAGGAGCAGATGCCGTGGCAGAGGTGGTTTTCACGGGCAATTTCTCTCTCTCTTCCCCGCTCCTCCTCCTTCCCTATGCCTCCCTCTCCCCGCTGCTCTTCCAGTCCCTGTCCCTCACTCATCTCCAGTTTCCCAACGTGGAGCTGCCTACTGTGGGCTCATCGTTACATGAACTGGCAACAAATCCCAGAAAATCCCTGTTGCAGGCCAGGAGATGTCCCCTTCCTGCCCCCAATCCCTTCCCGGAGCAGAGGCGACGTCCCTGCCCCAGGCTGGCCCTCTGCCCGCCCCTGTCACCTGCCTGTCCCCTCCCGCCCCGCTGGCCGGGAGATCATTGCACAGTGGAAAGACATGTGAGTATTGACTTGCACTCAAATCTTATCGGCCTCTGGAGGCCCCTGGATTGGTTTCACTCCGAGCAGGGCTTGAAAAAATAAACAAACAAACTAACAAACCGATCCCATGTCCGTGGTGGTGAAGGCAGGATGGGGCTGTCGTCTCCTATCCAGGGAGAATCCCACATCCCTGTGGTCCCCAAAGCAGCTTTCTGTGGGGGCCACTGCCTAAATGGGAGTGGATATGGGACACCCCCTGATCCAATCACTGGGTTGGGGTCTGGGCGTGTCTGTGGGCAGTGGGATGGGATGGGATCCTCCATCCACAAGCACTGTGCTGGAAAGCCCCTGGAGATGCAGGGCATTGTTTCCCAATCCATCTAACCCTCCCTGAGACTCCTTGGGCACAGAGAGGGAAACTGAGGCAGGGAAAGCAACACACCCAGGCTCATCCCCAGCACCAGATTCAGGCTTTCAGCATTCCCAAGTCCCTTCTGGTGCTCTGCAGTAGTGAGCAAACCTATTCCCTGTGCTCCCACCATGGATTCCTCACTGCTATGAGACAAAACAATGACATTTCTCCATCCTTCCATTTCACAGCACTTTGTGGAATCCTTGCAGAAGGCACTTGGCTCCTTCCTGGAGTAGGCAGGGATGGATTAAGCCCCTCAGAGAAATTCCTGCCTTCAAAATGCCTTAAACCCCTGGGGAAATAATCGGAAAGGATTTTAGTGACTGTGAAATCCCTCAAGGTCATTATCCAGGTAGCTTGGGAGAGTTACATGGACACAGAGGGCTGACAGCTCCAGGGCTCTGGGCAAGCCCTGGTGCTGGCTGAACCATCCAGCCCTTCTTTCCTGGCCCAGAACCAGCTCCTGCCTCCTGCAGCCCATTTTCCATGGCGTCCTGGCGCTTCTCCACCATCGGATGATGGAAGCAGCAGCAGCTTCTTCCCCCACCCCATCTCTCATTGCTACTTAATGAACTCTGCTTATCACAGCCTCCGAAATGGAGGCAGGAGAGGTGCAATCACAGAAAGGCTTCCAGAGGGTGCATTCGCCTCAAGGCCAAGGCTGTGCTGGGAGCAGGGGGGGCATTAATGACAGGGGCTTATTTTCCCTCTGCAGCGCTTAAAATGTAAATGAACTTCATTATTAGCAACTCCGTTGCTAATTACCATCTAAAGCTATTCATTAGCCTGTCAGCTTATTTGTTGGAGGACAACAGAGTGGATGGGTTACTCCAAGCCATGGAATAGCTGAAATGAGCTCAGCTGGGTGGAAGAGGAAAAGCAGGAATGGGGGGACAAAGGCACAGACAATTCCAGCCATGGGGGATCAGGGAAACAAAAGCTGGAAAAGAGGATGGGGACTCCTTCAAAATGGAGAAGCAAATGGGAAAGGCAGGAGTGATGAAAAAATAAAAGTAAAGGAATTACACACTGAGTATTGTCTGTCTGTCCTTCCTGAGCAGCCACTCTGGTTACCAAAGTGGGACCCAGGGAGTGGTTTCTTCTTCCCTTTTCCCATTACAGTTTCTCTCTGAGCATTCCACTGTCCCATGCCGGAGGAGTTCCAAATACTTGTGGGATCCTCTTGCCTGGTCCCAACCCCACAGGAGGTGTGAGCTTGTAAGAGCTATTTGGAAGAGCAGCCCAGAGGAGAGCTGGGGGTGGCAAGAATGGAGAGGGCTGCTGGACACAGCACGGAACACAGCCAAACATGGAAAAGTGGGGAAAAACCCTGAGAAACATATTCTTAACAGAGATCAGGACAGCTGGAGAGGAGCAGTAACCCGAGCCCCTGTCCTCCACCTGCCCTCTCCATATTTTCTTTCATCCAAGGTGGCCCTGCTCAGGAACAGGATGGAAAGTGGGAGCATCCGATACAAGGAAGGTCTCAGTGCCATTGCCCATCTCTGCGTCACATCGGCCCGGCTCAGGTCTCAGCCTCTCATCACGTTGCACTCGGCAGCGGGCTGATGCCAGGGCTGATTGTAACCCTGGCAAAAGGGGTGCAGAGGGACCCCCAGGATGCCACAGCCACAGGGATCCCCTGCCCCCATCCCAACCAGGGTTCTGGAGCTGCTGCTTCCAAGGAGCAGCTCCCAGAGGATGTAGCCCAGGGTGCAGGGGCTGTGTCAAGATGCCAGAGGAGCCCTCAGAGCATCCTAGGGTTGCACCAGCTCTCTGCTGAGTTCTTATTCCTATCGTAAGCAGAAAATTACAGAGCTCAAGATAATCCTCATTTTGAATAGCCCGACAGTGAAAGAAAAGGGAAAAATCCCTTTCATAAGGCAAATCCCTTTGCAGAGCTTCAGCATGATAAGCAGAGGGATGTTTTAAGGACCTTGAGGGTATTAATAAATGGGAATGTTCCTCACCAACCCCACCTGGGACCCCAACCCACCCCCTGCATGTGTCCCAGGAACTCTTTTTAAGCTCAACCCAGGGGTCTCAGTCCTAGTCTCAGCTATGTCAGGACTGGTCTCTGGGTCAGCTGCAGCTGGTCTGGACTCCAGCCTACAGACTGATCCTAAACTGAACCTGTGGATTTATTTCCTTGTTTTTGAACCTGTTTGCCTGCTGGGAATTTGCTGGTTGATCCGGCCTTTTCTTTGGACCTGCCCATCCTCTCCAGCCTGCCCTGCTTAGGAAGTGTGGGATGGGCAGGGAGGCTCTTCCCCCTGTTATCCCTTGGCTCTGTAGGCATTCCCTGTGAAGGACGGGAGCACACATCCATCACATCCATTTGATTTCTGAATATCCCTGACTGTAAAACCTGCAGGCCAGACAGGAATGTGGTACTGCTGAAGGCAAGGATCAGCTCTGTAGGTGACCACTTCCAAAGCCTCAGTGGGATGGGAAGGTGCTGGGGCAGCAGAGATGCAGGTGGGGAGGAAATTTAGGTCAGAGAAAGCTGGAGAGATGAGAAATAAGGGACAAGAAATCAGCCCCGAATCTCCAGCGTGCTCAGTGCCCACAGGCAGAGCCAGAGCAGCTCTCCAAGGCGCTGAGCATCCCCAGTGCTTTCCAGGAGTGGGAATCCATGACCCCATCACCTCCTCCCTTTCCTTGCCTGCTGCTGGGCAGGGCATGGAGCTGGATGTGCAAGGCTCCCTGCTCTCTGTGGGGAATAGCTCAGAGTCCAAGACCCAGAAAGGGGTCAGAGTGGACAGGTGGGCCACCTGCCATGGGGTCATCTGTGGCACACTGGTTTTCCTGCTTCCCTCTATTTTACCATCTGTGAAGCAGGCATTTTCCCTGTTTCTGCCAGGGTTGCTTCCTTGCATCCCCACAGCAACGCTGTTCCCCTGCTGAAGGGGTTTGGCCACCAGAGCTCACTGGTGTAAAGAGATTTTGCTGCTTCCTTGCCCAGCTGTTCTCATCTTCCTGTGGTGGGATGTTGTTCTTGCTACCCCACCATGACCCTCAAGGCTGGACCCCGGGAAGGGAGGATGACTTAGCTGTCAAATAAAGCCATTTTCACAACACTTCACTGATATTCTCACAATCACCAAGGCAGGAGGTCCAAGTGGTGTGCACAGAACTCTGTGTGATGACACTGAGAACAAGGCACACAGCCTATGCAGATCTCAGGCTGATTTGGGATTTATATTCCTTTTAGGAGCTTTTGAACCCTGTCCCGTCTGTGAATCAGTCCAATCCCTTCTCCTGCCCTCTAAATCCCAACCTTGGCATTGATGGCAAAAGCAGTCGACATTTCCTCTGCCCTTCATGCAAGCCATTAATTAATCACTGCTTCCAGAATGAAACACATCAGGGCGTGGACATGGAGTACCCCAAACCTGGCCCTGCTTGTGTGACCTGCTGGTTTACCATTGCCTCCTGGATACAGGGAGCCTGTGTATCCTGCCAGGGGCTGTCCCCCAGAGCCCCTGCCCTACCAAAGGTGGTCTTCTACCCACATAGTACTTGCCATGACATGAGTAGGAGACAATTCACCCCTGCTCTACAGAACCCCCATCCCTATAAAGACCGCCAAGCTCCATAGAGCACTCCCAGCCCTGTAGAGCCCCTACTCCTGTAAAGCCCCCCAAGCCCCATGGAGCACTGCCAGCCCCATGGAGCCCCACAATCCCTACAGAGCACTCCCAGCCCTGTAGAGCCCCTACTCCTGTAAAGCCCCCCAAGCCCCATGGAGCACTGCCAGCCCCATGGAGCCCCACAATCCCTACAGAGCACTCCCAGCCCTGTAGAGCCCCTACTCCTGTAAAGCCCCCCAAGCCCCATGGAGCACTGCCAGCCCCATGGAGCCCCACAATCCCTACAGAGCACTCCCAGCCCTACAGAGCCCCAAGTAAAGGCCCCGCCCCCTTCCCCTCGGCCCCGCCCCTCCATCTGGCGGCATCAGGACCCTGGACAGCGGCGAGCGCTCTCGCGAGATCCCGGCGCTGCCCATGGCCCGGGCGGCGGCGGCGCCGCAGTCTCGCGAGAGCGCGGTCGCTGCGGCAGGAGCAGCACCGGGCGGGCGGGCGGCCGCCGCCACCCGCCGGGGACCGGAGGGGACGGGACGGATCACGCCACGTGGTGAGTCCCAGGAGTGCGGAGAGGGGAAACGCCTCGGGTTGAGGGCGCTGGATGCTCCCCCCAGGTGCCCTTTGCACCGACCTCCCGCTCTGCAGCCCGCTTGCGGGGGGGGGTGGGATGCGCGGTATGGGGGCAGCCGCGGTGACCCTGCACACGCGTGGGTGCACCGGGGACCGAGCGGGGGTTGGGCCGCCCTTTTCTCCCATCCAGGCCGCTGCTGGGAGGCCTCTCCCGCTTTGAGCTGGGGATGCGTGGGGCACTCAGCCCTTCACGCGTGGAAACGCACGGGCAGCGATCCACGGCGAGAGCGAGCCCTGCCTGCCCTCCCAAAACCCACCCCACGCACCAGAGGGGTTTCTTCTCGGTGCCATCACCCGGGTGATCCCCCTCCTTTGCCCATCCACTCCACCATATTCCAACCCCTCCATCATATCCCTGAATTTGCAAAACAACCCCACCCGAATTGATCGATATGCCGGTGTTTTCGCCCCACCGTGGCGCAGGTGTGGGCTCGGGGGGCGCCTGGCCGTGGGTCCCCGCTCCCGACACACGTGGGTAGGGGCGGCCGGGCGGACGTCACCGAGCCCGAGGAGCTCGTATTTATAGCACGGGCGGGATGGAAGCATCCGGGGGCTGCCCGCGGATGTCGGGAGACGCCGAGCCCTGGGGGTTCGTTGTGTCTTTGGCGCTGGAGGGTGCGAGAAGACCCCCAGAGAGAACCCCCCAAATCCTGGGGGAGCTCCAGGCACCAACTGCCGGGACTCTGTGTCCTGGGAAATGTGTTGACTGCTGCCAGCTCTGTCTGGATAGCTGGGAAAGGGAAAAACCTGCAGGCAGGTGGGGATACGCCATCTTCACGCTTCTATTTAAAACCTGAGGTCTTAATTTTTTGTTTTAATTCACCATAGTTTTCACTTCTGGCAAAGAGCTGAGCATGGAATGGTCTGGGATGGTCCTGAGATGCCGAGCTCTCCCTTTCCCACCTGCATGCTCTGGAATGAGGTGCCAAATGACATGAGTAATTGTTAAGCCAGGCACTCAAGTGACTCATTAGTGACAATCGCCACTGATTTATTTTTTTTTCCCAGCTGATTTCTCTGCTCTGATTTCCCTACTCCCTTTTTGGCCTTGTTTTTGGCTTGGGCTTGCAGAGATGGCACCTACAAGGTAGCCAGGTAGTGCCTTGAGCTAGAATTCAGCAAAAATAACAATAATACATTTTTTAAAATACTTATTTTGGGGCCAGATCATGAACTTGATGGTTTCAAACAGCCCACAACCACCTCCTTTCCACTGCTGTCCTACCTGGCCCTCTCCTGGATGTAGGTCAGTTGGGAGTGGGAGGCCCTACATCACTGGATCGTCTCGTAATCTTCTGCCTTAACTGGTACATAAGCCTGAGCCCGAGAAGCCAGGATTTATCACAGTGCCATCCAGGTGCCAGTCAGGATGTGTGATAGTCCAGAGTGTCACACAAGTGAAGCAAACTGCTGTCCTTGAGTTGTTTGGGAGTGGGGGGAAGGTGAAGTTTTCTGCAGAGGTCCCTGACCACTTCAATCAACCTTTCCTCTTGTTATCCTCCAGCTTTGATAAAGCTCCCACATTTTTCCCAAGTATTTTTCCTGAGGAGCAGAGAGGCTGAGCCTGTGCCAGCATGGCAGGTATGGGGGGGGCTCTGGAGATCATCATGGGCTTTACTGGCCATAATGTCATCTCATTAGTCACCAGTGGGGTGGTGGATGTCCATGGCTGCAGGATTGGTGTAGCCAGTGAGGGCTGAATTTGATCCTTTTGGGTGGGCTGGTGACAGTTTCCATGGGAAATCCTTAACTTCTGTGTAAAACTTGTCAGTTCTTGGGGTTACTTAGGAAGCCTCTGGGTTTTTGTTCAGCTCTGGGCAGTGCCTGACACCAGTGAAACTCTTCCTTGCAGAAAAGGTGAACAACTTCCCTCCCCTGCCCAAATTCATCCCCCTGAAGCCATGTTTCTACCAGGACTTCGATGCGGAGATCCCGCCGCAGCACCGGACCATGGCCAAGCGGCTTTACTACCTCTGGATGTGTGAGTGGCTGTGGGGGAATGGCTACAGTGGGATTTGTTTGCCTCTCCAAAGGCTGCTCCTCTGGGAGCTGCCAGCTGAAAGGGCAGGGCAAGGTCAGGGGAAGCCCTTCTCCCCCTCCAAGCCTTGGTGTCTCCTGTTAAAACTCAGGAATGAGAGGTGGGCTGCAGCATCCCATGGATTCCAGCCCTTACAACCTCCAGGATGGAGCTGTGGAGCTCAGTGTTCCAGGGTCATTGGTGGTTACACTGATGTCCTGCTGTAAGGAGGAGACGGCTCAGACTGGAGGGCTGGTGTGCCTGCTCTCCAAAACGTGGAGCTTGAGGCTTCCCAGAGCTTGCCTGTTCCTCTTGCATGTCTCTGTGTGCCGTGCTGTGCTAACAGAGCTGTCACCAGCTTCCAGCTCTTCCAACTATCCTGGATCTCTCTTCTTCACCAACCCTGGGCAGGGAACAGCCAGAGGGACAGGTCATACCCCAGCATAGGTGGAAACATGCACAGCTCAGGGCAAGCTGGCACCAGCATTTCATTTCTTTTTAGAAGAACTTAGTTCCCTTATCAGGCATTTCTGCTGAACTTTGGAAGGATCCGTGCCCAGGGAGTGACTTGTGCTTTAGGGGCAGGTTAGGAAGAGCTGAGCTAACACCACAGGGGTTGTGTGTTCCTGCTTTTGGCATGGCACCAGGCTGGCATCCCTGGGGCTGTGTCCTGTCGGGATGGTGACCCCGGAGTAGCTTCCTCATGTCACGAGGGTTTACTTGTTTCAGGCATGGGAGGAAAAAAGCTGTGCACCCCCAGGCAAGCTCTCTTGGGGGTGTTCAATTCCCTCCCAATCCCAACCAAGATGTTCTTCCTCTTAATGTAACAGAGCTTGGTTCTTGCTCCTCAGCACAAGCACGAGCTCTCAGAGCCAGCCACTGTCCCTTGGGTTTTGCATCTGGAGCTCTTCTCTGGGTCATTTTCTCCCCACCAGCCCCTCAGACACCCATCACAGAGTGACTGGAAGGTCCTTTCATGTCCTTTAGGGCAGCCCGGGCAGCTGAGCTCCTTCCCTTGCCAGCTGCGGCTCTCAGGCAGGCAGCGGTGGGAGGGCTTTCGTTCTCGTCGAAATAATGAATCATTCTCCCAACTCGGAGGCGTCAGAAGGCAGCTGAGCCTTCTCTGCTTTGTCCTGTGTCTGCTGAGCTGGGATTCATAGTCGGAGCCCTTGTGTGGCCTGATCCCAAGCAGGGGTGGGCGAGTGAAATGTATCACCCCCTGAACTGGCGAGGCGGGGTCAGGAGTTCAAGATTTTGGCTCTCAGTGGTGCTCAGGGAATTCCTACACAAGCTCCTTCAGCAAAGACGTATCTGGAGCAAGCAAAAAACTTCATCACAATTCCTCCAGTTTCCTTATAAGTGGAAATGTGTGCTGGCTTGATTGGAGTGGGAGGATATGACTCCTGCCAATCTTCAGAGCCCTGGAGATGCTTAGGGAATTACAACTCTGAGAGATGATACATTGATTTTCCTCCTGTTACACTTAGCTAAGGCCTGACCCCATTTGGCCCAGCCAGCCTGGGAATGTGCTCCCAGCTTAATTTAAGGGAAGCCCAGCTAGGGCAGGACTCAGAAGCCGCATCCCTGGGGTTGGGGTGTCTCAGTGCCACCCTTGTGTCCGTGCTACTCTGCTCTGTGTGTGTGTGTTTGCAGTGAACAGCATCACCTTGGCGGTGAATCTCGTGGGCTGCCTCGCGTGGCTCATTGGAGGCGGCGGAGCTGTAAATTTTGGACTGGCAATTCTCTGGCTCATTCTCTTTACGCCCTGCTCCTATGTCTGCTGGTTTAGACCTATTTACAAAGCTTTCAAGTAAGTGGTTGCACCTGAGCCTGGCTTCTTTTTGCCTTGTTTTCCTTCGTAAATGGTCAGTGTTTAGCTTGGGGCATTGCCTGACTAATTGGGGGAATTCCTTTCTGTGCAGCCCTTTAGCTTTACTTTCTAACCTTCAAAACCAGAGTGTTTGGGATTTCCTGGGGGCCAAACCCCCCCATCAGGCGATGTAAGGGCACTTTCTGTGAGCCTCTGTGCAGCAGTGGGGGACAATGGTGAGGATGCAGCTGGGCTGCCACTTTCCCTCTTGTCCCTGAGGCATCTTTTATATTTTTCCACGAATCCTCGAGGTGTTTGTACAGATTACCCATGGTGCTGAGGTCAATCCCGAAATCAAGAGTATTTATTCCCCATGTGGGGTGGTGTGAGCCGAGAGCTGTGTCCCAACACAGATGGCCTCAAGCCCAGCTGACTGAGCCATAGGGAGGGTCTGGTGCCCCATGGCTTTCCCAGCTGTCCCTGGACCACCTCCAGCCTCTTGCAGTTTCTCCTTTGCCTTTAATTTTGCTTTTCATCACCCTCCTGCTAAACCACAGCCAGGTCTGAAACGTAGGAGCATCTCCCTTCCCTTGGAGTGCAGCAGGGAGGTGCAGGGGTGACTGAGCCTTCTCTTGCAGGACAGACAGTTCCTTCAGCTTCATGGCCTTCTTCTTCACCTTCATGGCCCAGCTGGTGATCAGCATTATCCAGGCAGTGGGGATCCCTGGATGGGGGGTCTGGTAAGGAAAGTGCTGCTGTGTTGGTCACTGTGGTATTTTAGTGTCCTAACTGGTTCTCTCCTTGGGGCAGATGGTTTGAGGAGCTGGGAGGGCTGCTGGCAGTTTGGGAGAGCTGGTGAATGAACCGGTTGTTTTCATCTCCTTGCAGTGGCTGGATTGCAGCAATTTCCTTCTTTGGGACCAACGTGGGCTCGGCTGTCGTGATGCTCATCCCCACCGTGCTCTTCACAGCTATGGCAGTCTTCTCCTTCATTGCTCTCACCATGGTATGGCAGGAAAAACAGGGCTTCCACGTTGCTTTGGGGGGCCCTCGCTGCCCCCCCCGGGAGCTCCGCGCCAGCCACGGGCGCTCAGCCCCTCCGGATTTTCCCTGCAGGTGCACAAGTTTTACCGGGGCAGCGGCGGGAGCTTCAGCAAAGCGCAGGAGGAGTGGACCACGGGGGCCTGGAAGAACCCCCACGTGCAGCAGGCGGCCCAGAATGCGGCCATGGGGGCGGCGCAGGGTGCCATGATGCAGCACGAGACGCAGTACTCGGCCACCCCCAACTACACCTACTCCAACGAGATGTGAGCAGCAGCGGGACTGTCCTCGGGAGGAAGAGCTGGGGGGGAAAAAGGGAGGAGGAAGCCTGAGCCGAGTTTCTGCAGCTGTCTCAGAAAGTCAGAGTGTACCATAATGGTGGTTCTTTTCCCATCTTTGTAACGAGATCCTTTGGGATTTTTTCTTTCCTTTTTTTTTCTGTTTTTCTTGTCTTGAGCTCTTCTTTTCTCCTTTCTTTTTCATTCTGAAGAGGCCGTGAGTTGACCTGCAGGGCTGTTGTTGTGCGTGGTAGTCAGTGTCCATTCATGTGTCTTCTTTTTCCCTGTGGAATAGTGTACGGTGGTGGTTTTTTAATTACTGTGGTGATAGGTGTATGTTAGAACCTCATCAGCCAAAAGCCCCCCCAAGCTCCCAAAAAGGGAAAAAGAGCAACCAGCACCCATCTTCCCTCTTGGAATAAGCCCTGAACAGGTTTTTGATGTGTGTGAGTTTTCTCTTTCAGTTGGTAGTGTCCAGCCACTTGCCACTGTCTCAGCAAGGGCAAGCAATCTTGGGAATTCTTTTTTCTTTTGCTTTTTAACTAGCAGGTGGCTGGCTGATTTAGCATTAAAGAAAAAAAAAAAAAAAAAAAAAAAGATAAGAAACCCTCAATCCTGCTGTTGATATGCTGGAAGCCAAGAGATTCCTAATCTACTCCCTGGCTCAGGATCTACAACTTCTCTCGGTGTGTGGTGTTTGTGAGTAGTTTACACTTTGACATGGAGGACCAGTGTGTGTGCGTGAGCGTGTGTGCGCATTGGGGAGCAAGGACAGGTTTTCCCTGCGGGATACAACCATCCCATTCCAGATTCTGCATCCTGAGTCTGGTTTTTTTAAAGGCTTCTGTTTTGAAAAGCAGCTGTAATACCAACAAGAGTGTTCCTCAGAGGACCTAATGCTTGGGCAAGGCTGCGGGTCAAATCTTGCCACTCCGTATCCCAGCACATCCAAACAGTCTCGCTGCTCACGGAAACAGCCAGGCCAAGTTTTGTCCCCGTTAGCTTTGGAGGTTTGTGCTAATTTAAGTCCCTTAAGGAAACCTCCAGGCTGGAGGTAAGGACTGCTCACTTGCGCTCCTAAAAAGCGTGGCAAGATGCGGCCGTGTGTTTTCCTGGTGCAGAAATCCCTGTCAGGCCCAAATCCCTGCCCAGTTTGGGGATGCTGAACATTAAATAATGATCCTGCACTCTAGCAGGAGGCAGCTGAGCTCAAACCAATACTTCTTGGGGAAGGTGACTGGCACACTCTGGAAAAGATTATGAGTGGGAGCATAAATGGGATGGATGCTGCAGGGCAGGAGTAGGGAAAGCTACTTCTCTGAGATGCTTTTCAACTCTAAATGCACTTTAAATAAGCCAAATTTTTCTCCAAGTCCTCGAAAAGCAGCCCAAACAGAATCCAATCCAGCCCCTTGGCTCCAGTATCTCCTGCCTGGCACAGGGAAGGAGCTCAGAATCCCACCAGCCAGGACTGTGCGAGTCCCCAGCCCCTTATCTCACCCCTCCAGCCCTCCAGTGATGCTTGGATGTGACCCCTGCCCCTGAGAATCACCCCAAAAAGGATCTTCTCCAGCAAAGCACACCAAGACTAGTTTCCTTTTTAAGGGTATCACTTCAGTCATTCTGCAATAGGCAGTCGTCTCTTGACCAGACTAAAATGCAGCTACTGATAAAATGCCTGTCTGTGTGTGTGTGTGTATATATTTATGTATAAAATGTCAGGAGAAAAGTAATCCTTTGCTAAGCCTATTATGTACTTAATCAGGTTTAAATATTGTGCAATCCATTTCTAGCTCGCCTAAAACTTACTCTGCCAAACCACGTGCTCTGTCATCCGTGTCTGAGAAATGATGGATTAAGTGACTTCACCTCTTGCATTGACAATAAGATACATCAATAATAATAACTGTAATGAGCTGTAACTAACAGGCATTGCTTCAGCACCTAACCCTCCTCTCCAATGTGTCTCCTGAGTGTGTGAGCTCTGAAATGTTGCCCCATGGCTCCAGCCAGGTGGGAAACTCCACTCCTTGTTCTCACCTTGGTTATTTGTAAGCTGTCCCTGCTCCTGGTGGGGCTGATGTGTGATCAAAGCGTGGTGCTCCTGAAGCCCACGGGGTGGGAGAGGTGGGGTGCTGCTGCACAAGAGACTTCTCGGGATGGAACACCCCTGGGGTTCTCCTGAGGTCTCCCTGCTGCCTTCCATGTCCTGCAGCCAGCAAAGCAGAGCCCTGTGCCTCTTACTGTCCTTGCTGCTTGTTTGTAGCCAGTATCAGAGGGATGTCCAAATAACTGCTGCTTTTGAGCAGAATCTGCAAAGGGCTGGGCACCACGTGCTGCCCCAGATCTGCCATGCCCGCATAATGATGGAATGATCTGGGTGGGAAGGGACCTTACAGCTCATCCAGCAGGAACACCTTCCACTATCCCAGCGTGTTCCCAGCCCTGTCCAGCCTGGCCTTGGACACTTTCAGGGATGGGACACAGCTTCTCTGGGCACCCTGTGCCAAGGCACAATTCCTTCTCAATATCCCACCTAACCCTGCCCTCTGGCATGGGAAGCCATTCCCCCTCGTCCTGTCTGTGCCTCAGACAATGAATATTCTGTCCTTTAAGCCGCTTTTCCCTGCCAGCTCTGCGTGCCTGCCCTGAATCCTGTAGGAAAGGTTTCACTCCTGGTCTCTAACACTTTCCTAGGCTCAGATACCACCCCTGTCACTTGAGGGGCCCTCAGACCCTCTCTTCGACCCCATTTCCCACACGCCTTCTACACCGAGCTTTTCTGGCCTTTGTTACGTTCCAAAACCTTGTCACGAACCAGAATCCCCGTCAAGACTTCTTCCTGAGTAGCCTGAAGCCACCCGCTTGCCCTTAGCGAGATCCCTCTCGTGGGCACGACTGGGGCACAGAGGGGCACAAAGTCCTCCCGGCCGGCAGCACAGGACTGGGCCCTCAGGGGTCGCCATGACACCGCTTCCTCCGGCGCGCGCGGGCGCGCGCGCTGCCCGCACCAATCAGCGCCGTGGGCGGGAGCAGCACGCACCAATCAGCGCCGTGGGCGGGAGCAGCACGCACCAATCAGCGCTGTCCGTGCACCAGTTCCCGGCACCCCCCGTGGCTGCCGGGCTGCGGCCCCGTTCCCGCCCGGAGCCCGCGGCCCTCAGGCCCCTCACGCCCCTCACGGCCCCCGGCCCTACCTCGAACGGTATCGGAGCGCTGTTTGGTGCCTTCTGAGAGCCCTCGGGGCTTCTCGGTGCTGCTGTGCTGCCTTCTGGGGCCGATTTCAGCATCGCTGCTGCATTAAAAGTCGATTTCATTAACCCTTAAGGGCCTGTAAATTGCTTGTTTTCTGGTGGCTGCTTCCCCACAGCTGTTTGGGTAAGAGGAAAGCGCAGCCCAGCACTTCTTTATGGTTATATTACGTATCTTATTATACATACCGCTTTTATTATAATCTTCTGGCATTATATTATAATTTTATTTGCCGCTTTTTAAAAATTTGTGCCATTTTAAAATTTTCACCTTTTTACCATTGTTTTACCATATTAATAGTTACTTTACTATTATAATAATTGTTTTATAATGTTATAATTTTTAACTCTTTTATCATTACTTAATAAAAATTTTGAAAGTTTCCTACTTAAAGATTTACATTTTAATACCCAGGCTTTAATTTGTGGGTCCTTCGGTGGAGTTAATTGTGGAAACATCCTAAGGATGCTTTAAGTATATAATAATTTTTATTATTAATAAATATATATTATTAATAAATATATTATGATTAATAATGATAATAATATGATTTTAAGTAGATATAGGTAAATATGTGAAGCATGGTGTAGCATTAAAATCTCTCAGCCAATGTCTTGCTATATTTCCTCAGCTCTTAATTACCCTTGCTAATCAGCAAAGCTGAAATTGGGCTTTTAGTGGAAGGTGTCCCTGCCCATGGCAGGGGATGGGATTTGGTCACTTTAATTTCCCTTCCAACCCAAACCAGGCTGTGATCCTGTGAAATTCTTCTCTCCAACCTCTGAGTTGCTCCCAAAAATCAGAGCAGCCTGTGTCCATCTTCTTCTTTCCACCCAAAGTGATTTCAAGCAGCTTAGTTTGAACAAGGACATCACTAAAATGGAACAAACTTTACTGGGTGCAGTGATTTTTCAAGAACTGGATTTACTCTTTGCTACTTAATCATTAATTGATTATATGTGAGATACTTGTGTTGATTTCCCCACCAAAACATTAATTTCTGATTTTTATCAGCAGCATAGGGAAGTCAGGAAGAAGCAGCAGACCTGCATTAGAGCTGCTAGGGAATAATTTTTAGTGCTTATTTAGGAACACAGTAAGAAACAAGATGGTTGTGCATACAATGAGTCCCCACATTTTTAATTATTAAGACATCCCTGTGCATTTATTAATCACCAGAGAGTGCAAAGGGAAAGCAACACAGCAGGGGGTTGTTTGCCTTTACCGAACTTGGTGTAAAATATTATCCCAGATTGATTTATTTATATGTCTTAAATTCTTGGCTGTGCTCAACATGTGAGAGTCTTAATTTTGGGGGCATGAACTTTACGGGGTGCTTTTGTGGCCTCTCTGCTCAAGTTTTAGGAGTCTGTTTCCCAGTATGGGAGAGAAAAATGTAATTAAACATTGAGCTGCCCTTAAAGTTCTGCTGGTGCTTGAAATCCTTGTGGGATGACCCAGAGTCATCCCATCTTTCTGAATGACTCTCGGTCCTTCAGAGTCCAGGTCAGATCTCGGGAATGTGTTGGGATTGGAGCTGTGCTTGGAGGCTCTGTCAGTCCAGTGTCTTTGTTTTCCTGTGCTTGCCTTGCACAGTTGGATTGGAGCATGGAGCCCATCTCCCTGCCAGAACCAGGCATGTCTGCAGGAAACAGCTCATCTGTGGCACAGGAGAAATTCCATGTGCTGGTGGGAGTGACTGGAAGTGTGGCTGCCCTCAAGCTGCCCCTGCTCGTGTCAGAATTGCTGAAAATCCCTGGGGTGAGTGAAGCTGTTGGTGGAGCTTTGTAAAGTTGGAGTTACCCTGGTTTTGAGGAGAGATCACATGGCTTCTGCTGAAATGACAAGTTCCTCCTAGGGGGCCCTTTAGTTCAAAAATTTCTGTGAGGAGGATTCCACCTATTTTTAATTTTTTTTTTTTCCCTTATCATTTCATACTTGAAAATATCTTTGCTTTGGGTGTTTCTTTGTTTTTTTTTCTGGAGTTTATCCTTGTCAGTCAAGTTATCAGATGTGGTTGCAGACAGAGGTGATGCTTCTGAAACTTGAAATCTCCAGGCTATTGCAGCTTTCCATGGGTGGGATGTGGCTTTTCCAAATGTGATCCAGAAAGGAAAAATAGACCTTGTAAAACCAGAAATGGAAAACACAAGCTACTATATGTGTTTGTGTAGTATTTTTTTACTCTTTGCTGTCTGGAGTAACAGAGATGCCCAGCAGAGGCCACTGGTGACTGATCAGGAATGGAAATGTGCTCTTTTCTGCTGTAGGATAAAGTTAAACATAGAAAACTTTAAGGTTTTTAGAAATGGAGGAAATAT